GCCCTGTCAGCAGCAATCTCCTCCTCAATCAACAAAATACACACACACACACACAACTACAGGACAAGGACGTGACTATTTCAGAGTGTCAGGAGGGGGCGGGGTCAGGCTCCAGTGGCGTGTGGGGTGGGGGTTCACCTCCCTGAAACCAGAGCGGGACTTATGCGTGCTTTACAGGCTGCTACATACCACTATATGGCAGGGGGAGTTTAACTCATTCATAGAACAGTCTTTGCCATTAGGGACCAGTCAAGGTCAAGGTCTCGCCACACACACAGACACACACACAGTTTGACCTGAGCACGGACACATCGTGCTGTGTAAAGTAGACATAAAACATCTAGATGAAATTAGTCTGACGATGTTTTCATACTTGGTGTGTGAACATATAGGGACGTCAACAAACACCTGAACTACTACTGTATAACTATCATAATGTAGTTACTGTTTTTTCGCTTTTTTTTAATCAACTGTTTTGGCTTACTTTAGCTACACTTTTAAGCTAAATGTAAAATTTAATAATTTTGTAACACTCTTGAATTAAGAGGTAATAATTATAATCGGTCACACAGCACTTGTATGATGGAACCGATAAAGGACACAGATCAAAAGAAACGACCGACCCACACCAGCAGTCTGAACACAACGGATGATTATAAGAGGCGTTGACATCACGGATTTACAATATCCGATGATCACTTTCCATCAGATTAGGATTTTGTTAATAGAAATTCCAGTGTAACGTTGACAATAATGGCTCAGTTTTCAGTGACACTTTTTCACCCTGACAAGCAGTTAATGGCAGGAGAATCAGAGAGACCAGAGAAGAGATAAAAGGCGAGCGAGGAACGGACACAGAGAAGTGACAGTGGGGGGTGTCACTGGGGCGAGAAGGCGTTGATGTAATTGATGTGTGGACTCATTTAGACAGGTTTTCCATATGCTGTCATTTCCAGCAGGACACACTGCATTAAGGAATGAAGCCAGTGAAAGACAAGTCATTTGACCATGACTGTGGAATGTGTGCATCTGGCTGTGTGTGTGCGTGTGTCTGCACAGCCTCATCTTGAAATACATACCAATGGACAAATGCTATATTGGCCAAAGCAAACACAAATCCCTGGGAGGTAAAGTTAGTCAGGTTGTTTTCTCTTTGTCAAATAACTGACTCATTGCACTAAAAGTGGACAATACAACAAAAAGAAAATTGCCAAAACTATCTGTCACTCTGTCTATGGCAGTTGCTGTCACTCATATTCAGAATCAACAGGCACTGATCCAAAGGACCGGTGTTTAACACAAATTTACCAAGAATGAGAACAATCTTGTTGCCCTGCAGACAGCTGTAGAGCACGGGGCCTTTTAAGAGACAGATCAGATTCTCCTGAATGGGACGGGTGAAGACATTCGTTGTGGTCAAACATATTAAACTATATGTGTTTAATAAATTTGACTGCGATTGGAAAAGCAGGATGTGTAATTTGAGTCATGTGCCACGCTCTGAGTGGCAGCTGTTCAGCCCAGACAGAGGTGGTTTTTCCCAAGAAGGAAGAGGTTTTGGAGTTT